ATTTTTAAGCTACAAAGCTTTTTATCAGTATTATAATCTATAAATTAATGGCTTCATTATTTGGTTTTTAGATTTAAGAAAAACTTTTAGCATCTGATTTGCTAAACTATTGAAGACCTCAACATTCCTCTAATTTTACAGTCTTGGATAAACAAAAAAAATCTTATTACCAATCTTTGCTAAAAAGTAATGAGCCAAAATTTCAACAGAGGTGATTATAGAGAACTCATTCAGTTAACATTGTTGTATTTAAGTAATGGACAAAATGAGGTGATTAAAATCCAGGGGCATAGGGGGCATGTTTCAATCTCTATGTTTAACCTGTTAACAGTCCATGCTGTAATATTAAGCAAAATAAAAGTGGTTTCCAAATTTCCATATCGTAATATTACACAAATTAAAAGTGGCTCCCAAATGTCCATGCCATAATATTACGGTTTTATGCATCTCCTTATATTTCCTTCTTGTTCATCAGTAATTATATGTCGACTGTCACAAAATTTATTACTACAAAATTAAAGAGCTTTTGTTTCAATAAATCACTTTTACATGTGTTCACTTTTATTTTTAATATGACAAATAAGGAAGTTCTTTCAGTGCAAAAATAATTACCAAAATGTAAATATTTACTCACTAAAAGATAAAAAATTATAAATTTGATGAATCAATAATGAAAAGATATATTTGATGAAAGATAATTGAAAATGATGATAAAAGATTATTGAAAATGATGATAAAAGATATACTTGATGAATAATTATTAAAAATGATAATGAAAGATTAATGCTTAAAGAAAGTGTACAGTATGTTACAAACACATAATTCAAAAAGATTCAAGATATGAATGTTTAGAATTAATGTAAGACTTTGTGCAGCTCCATGCTTTTCCAATTGTCATACGAAAAGTGAATATTAGTGAATACATTTTTATAACTTTGTGTTTATGTAGTATGATTTTGTTCTTAAACTTGAATAACGACATTTTGCAGTGTATAATAATTTTAAAAGTAGTAAAAAAATACAATGATTTTAAAAACACGGGACATTTCAAGACCACTTCAAAAAAAAGCTGGACCAATAGCGACCCTATTTTTAAAAATATACGAGACTGTTAAAGGATTAATACTTTTTCAACCTCTTTAATACAGTAAAAGTTGAGCAAAGTAAAATTGATTCGGCTTAATGTATTTACCAGTGAGTTTACTGATAAATTATTACTACTGCGATTAACCATATTATGAAGCACTATAATGATCATATCTGCAAGCTTGATCCTCAGATGTATTGATTGCAATAGTAATAGTTTACTGGTAAATTTACCAGTAAATACATCAAGTTACCTTATATAATCCCAGGTCAGATAAATATACCCCCCATGCCCCTTATGTAATACAAATCACATTGAGATACAAATTATCACCAGAATAATGAAAGAAATCAGTCTGAGGGCTGTTACAGAGAAAATGACGGGAAGAATTCCAGTCAGCTTGTCAGTCTGAAAAAGAAGAATGAGATAAAATACTTTTTTTCAGAGACACAAATCGAGGTAAGTAATTGGGATTGTCTGGAAAATGAGTCAACTGAGTAAGAGAATAAGAAATACAAATGTTATGAGCTTTATAGCTGGTAAGGTCAGTGGTCCTAGATCCAATTTTGTTATTATTGGTGATTTTAATGCTAATTAAAGTCACCAATAATAAAAAAATTTGGGATTTCTTAACAAATAAGTGAGTTAATGTGAATTTAATTATATGGCCAAGCTAAGCATGTGACAATCAGAGTCTTTGTCAATCAAAGAATAATAGCCATTAACACTGAGATCCTTAAATGAAACAGCTCAATCCTTAAATGAAACAGCTCAATTCAAAACAGCTCAAAAAAAATGAGTCTCACATAAAGCAAGAAAATCTAGTTTGTAGAACGTAATATTCAAATGATGAAAAGTTACTTTGAAAGTGATTATTTGAAAAAGAAAGATTGAAACAGTTACGTGGTGGTGATAGGTTTTTATGCTTAATATTTTTAGATACATTAGTCATGTTTGAAGTTTTTAGTGAACTTGAATCAATTAGAAAGTGCATGACAAGCAATGAGCTATGCAGTTACCTCTGTTCTGCTAATTAACCTAAACCACATCTCAATAGGAAAGGCATTTGACTGCACTCCAAACTTGACCATGCATGTAATTGTTTTGTTTTTTGAAAGCTTGACCACAGCACTTTATATAATTAAAAAACTGCTGAATAAAACTGACAAAAGAAAAAAATTATAAACAGGCTAAACTCAGGCCTTGTTTTAAATAACAAATGCATAACACATTTGCATAATGTGAATTTGACATCATAAATTTTTTTTATCTTTTTATTTTTTAAAGACATTAACTTTTTTAAATTACTGCAATAATATTAATTACCGCAAAACAAGTTAAATATTGTTCAACTCGTTTTTTATTAATACTATTACGAAATGTTTATTTCTTTAATTTTTTTTTTTTTTTATATTAAATAATTAAATTTATAATTACATTTAAAAAAAAAATTTTATATAAAAAATTGTTTTTCTCAACATTTGTATAAATGATTAAAAAAATGTTAAATTTTTTATAAATGATTCTTAAATAATCATTTTAAAAAATTTGCAAATAAAAAAAAAATTTCATTTAAAAAAAAATTAGTGAGTAATAAATAAAATTACGTTAAATTATATAGTTTATTTATTAAAAGTTTATTATTTTAATAGCAATTCTGTTTTGAAAGCAAAGTTTAATTTTTTAAACACCATAAAAATAAGCAAATTTTTTTTTTAAGAATAAATAAAATTTAAATATTAAACAATATATAATAACATTTTTGAATAAATTTGACAGTTAAGTTAAACCCAAGCATTAACTTTAATTTTAAAAATTTAAATATTTTTTTATTCAAAATTTATATATATATATATATATATATATATATATATATATATATATATATATATATATATATATATATATATATATATATATATATATATATATATATATATATATATTTATATATATTTATAATTTAAATGATACACATCATAATAATTTAAATGATACACTATTAAATCTTTAATAGTATGTGTAATAACATTATAAGTATTAAAACATCATATACGCTAACATACTATTTATTAATTTTTTTAAGTAATATTTCGGCTCACATAGTGAGAGCCATTATCAAACTAATAAAACCATTAAAAAAACCATTTAAAAAATTAATAATTGGCTTATGTTCATTATAATTTTTTAAACGGTTATTTAAAGGATTTTATTAGTTTGATAATGGCTCTGACTATATGAGCCGAAATATTACTTAAAAAAAGAAAGAAATAGTATATATATATATATATATATATATATATATATATATATATATATATATATATATATATATATATATATATATATATATATATATATATATATATAGGCTCATAGCAACTAGGGGGGGGGCAGCAGGGGGCATTTACCCCCAATAATTTATCAATTAAATAATTTTGAAAAAATTGACTAAAAAATTTAAAAAAAAAATGTCCTTAAAACAATTTTGAAGTCCCTTAATCCAGCAATGCCACCCCCCTCCCAGTATAATTTTTGTTCCTACAAGCCTGATATATATATATATATAAATTTTCCTACGAGCCTGATATATATATATATAAATTTTTAAATTATATATTATTTTAAATTATATATTTTTTTATCAGAATAAAATTATAAATTTTTATTAAATTATTTTTGAATTAAACCATATATTTTTTTATCTGAATTAAATTACATTAAAATGATCTTTGCTTCAAGCTTAAAGTATTAGTATTTTTCAAGCGAAAAAATCGATTAATGCATTAAAAAAAAAAAATTAAGTATAAATTATTCATTACTATGTAGAAATTTAAATAATTTTTTTTAATGCAATAAAAAGTTGCATAAATATTCTTTTCCTCTCAAGATGATAAATAAAAGTTTATATTATATATATTTTTTATATGTTTTTTTTTTTTTACATTCTGATTAATAACTTTGCACAAAAAAATAAAAATTGTTGTTAACTATAAACAATTTTGTTTTCTGTTCGATAAAATAATTAGTTAAGATAAAGTAATAATGTAAATATTTTTAATTAAACATTAAAATAAAATGAAAAGATTTTTTATTTTTATTTTAATTCTCCCTAATACAAAAAAATTTAGTTATAAAAACTTTTTCAAACCAACATGACAAACTATAAAAATTTGATCTTTTCTAATGTTTCTATAATATTAGGCAAAATATTTTAAATAAAAAAAAAAATACATCTAATTAATATTTAATAAAAAACTTAAATCAACTTATCAAAAAGTATTAAAAATAAAAGTTTATTGACACGCATTCATTTTTATTGTTGTTTATAAAATTAAGAATACAAATTGTTTTAAAAAAATTACATTTATTATTTTAAAAAAAATACTTTTGAAATAAATAAAAGTTTTATTTAATATTCAATGATAACTTATTTATTAGGGTTTTAAAACTTTATTTAAAAGCATTTAGCATAAACACATTTTATTAGAAAGTTTACACAGCATAACAAAAATTTTTGACTATTAAATATGTGGATTGATCAAAAAGTTGATTAAAACAATCGTTTTTATTGTTGTTTATAAAATTAATTGTACAAATTGTTTTAAAATTATTTACATTCATCGTAAAAAATACACTTTTTAATAATATAATATCTTTTGATAATTTAAATATCTTATAGTATACAATCTTTAAAAGCAATTTTTTCCTTTATTACCTAATACTTAAGCACATTTTTAAAACATTTTCAAAACTTAACAAACTGTGGTTAAGTTGTCGCAAAAATTGCGAGATCAGGAATATTGTGCGATCTCATGCAATTCCTGTACACGACTGACATTTATGTCAGCCTAATAGATGAAGATATATGAAATATTAACATTAAAAAAAAATAAAAATAAAAAACTTTTACTTGAATTTGTTTTGAGAATTGAATTATCACCATTTGAAGAGAAGGTTGAAATTTCACTGAAGGTTCTTGTTCTGGGTTGTAATTTTACTTCATGGTCTTTTTGATCATCTGCTTCTAAATTCGAATCCGATGTTAATTGAGTGCCAGAAACACAATGTAGCTAAAAAACAAACATACCAACAAAAAATATAGAAGGAAAAAAAGATTAAAAAATTTCAACAACTTATAAAAAAAGTTATTTTTTTGTTTTATTTATTTATGTATTTTTGTTGTATGTTGAAAAAAGATAAAACGACATTTAGTAAATGTAATGATGCTGTTTTGTGCATATACTATCAAGAAAGTGCTTGATGAAGTCAGAGCTATAATGTAGTAGAAAATAAACCTACCTGATTTTCACAATTTTAAGTTTCATGTTGTTGCAATTATCAGGTGAAATACAAATATAGTTTGTTCGTTAAAAAAATAATATACAAGTGAAACTATACAGAAAAAACCTATACGGAAAAAAAATATTGTTTCTAATCTTAAGGTTTGTGGTTGCTTAATGGAAATTTATTTTCACGACGACATTTGGAAATTAAAACTATATGTGTATTTCACCTGATGATTGCAACAGCATAAAACTTAAAGTTGTGAAATCACGCAGTTTTATTTTCTACTATATATATATATATATATATATATATATATATATATATATATATATATATATATATATATATATATATATATATATATATATATATATATATATATATATATATATACAGGCTTCAGCAGGAATAAAAACCGTACGGGCTATGAAAAGCTCGTCTTAAATAGACTTGGCGGGCTGTGAGGGCCGTCCGTCTAGATGGTCTTGCACGGGCTTTTTTAAACTTTAAAAAAAATTCTAAAGTTTGAACTTTTTTTTTTTTAAATTTGTTAATTTCTCTTCTTCTTTTTGAATGAAAATGTCATTGAATATTAAACATTTTGTGAATTGCACTAAAATAATATGTTAGAAAGCAATTAACTGTTTAAAATGCTTAATTACTTAAGTAATTAAAACACTGCAGTAAATGAGTTGGATAATACTTAAAACTAAGATTTCAATAATTGTTTTTCAAAGTTTTCACTTGCACAGATTTAATTTCGTTTCACGTGGGTTAGTTGTTTTATGGTTGCTTTTGTTTAGATTTCTTACTCGAAGGAACTTTATTCAGTTTTTTATGTTTTTTTTTTAAATCTTTATTTCAGATAATATCTGTCAAATATAGTCAAACGAATAAATGTGAAAACGACGGGAAAAATCCTCGAAACAACCATGGCGTTTCATCACGTTTCCTTATTCAAGCATCCTAACGTGTCTTTTTACCGAAGTCTTTTTGAGTATATTTATATATTATTGTTTTATTCAAGTATTCGATTAAATTATACAGGTTTTTATCGTGCTTTTTTAGTTCATTCGTTTCTCTTATTCTTTGTGAATAAAAATATTACATAATATTTTCAAAATCTAATTTTTTTAATTATTCAGCAAATAGTTTGAAATTTTTTTTTTTTTAACCTTGAATCAATGAGCTCGATAGTTTTAAAATTGTTTGGTATTAGCTTGGTAATATGATACGTAACTATGTTATTTTTCAAATTCAATTATTTATATACTCTTGCATTCTATTGGGCATGCAAATTAAAAACTTAAACTGTTATTTATATTTTTATAACTTCGCTTTACCTATACCTATCCTGATCGGAAATAGTTATTCTCATACGTGAATAAAAAATTTGAAATCTAATTTCTTTTAATAAAATAAGTTTTTATTTAGAAGTACTAATAATTTCTTAAGATACCGGGGCTTCCGTTACTTTATATACAATATAAGCATGTATATAAGCGTATGTATGTTGCTAGCTTTAACGTTCGTAGTGCCCTCTATAAATGCTAATGCTTTTGATTTTGCCAGACCTTTTAACTCGCGAAGCAATTCTTTTTTATATTTTATACAAACCATACACCATATCTTCACAACAAAAATTGTTCCATTCTCCACCTCAGTTTCTTTTCCACAGACTCCATCTTTACCCCAACTCAAAAATGTTGCTAATGTAACTCTTTTACCAGATGATGCCATTACTATCTTTACTGAAAAACTTGAATAACTTGAAAAACTTGAATGACTGGATAACTTGAATAACTTCATAACTATAAAGCAACACTATTTATATTATCTACAAAAATTGATTAGATGTTTGTTGATTTTTAATGAGATATTTCATTTTCAATAACGAGTTATATAATTGCATATTAAATAAACTGCCGTCTCTTTAAGAAAAAACGTGAAGTTAACGCGGAAGTTAACGCGGAAATATCACTTTAAATTTCTTTAAAGTAAGACAAACTAGTTTATTGGAAAAAAGCGAAATACATGGATAATTAGTTTATTATCGTTATTATTATAAACATTGAAAAACCAAAACAACATGATACTTCTTGTGCATCACATGTGTATATTTCCCTATTTAATATAATAGTTATTAAATTTTGAACATAATATGGTAACTGTTTGGTATTATATCAAACAGTTATCGTCGTTTAAAAAACTGTAAGATTTAGTTATATTATTTTCTACATCATGTTATACAATAATGATTAAATTGTTTAATTTTTATATTTAAATATAAACAATTATAAGTTGGAGTTTGCTATCCATATTAAAATTATGTCAAGAGAGAAGTTTTAAAAGAGTATCCTAATAAAAAAACATCAAAATATTCATCTTTTTTTTTACACAAAACTTATGTTTCAGACGGGCTTTATTTCACCCGTCTAAACTGACTTAGACGGGTGCGGAGACGGACACGGGCTATAGCCCGTCATTCCTGCCAAAGCCTATATATATATATATATATATATATATATATATATATATATATATATATATATATATATATATATATATATATATATATATATATATATATATATATATATATATATATATATATATATATATATATATATATATATATATACCTATGCATATATATATATATATATATATATATATATATATATATATATATATATATATACTTATGCATATATATATATATAAATATATATATATATATATATATATATATATATATATATATATATATATATATATATATAATAATATTTGCATATTATAATATATATATATATAAAAACAATACTAGCAGTAAATAATATACATAATATATATATATATATATATATATATATATATATATATATAAACTATGAAATTCAGCATATAGTAGAATCAATATGTGCTAAATACACATAGCAAATAATATTTTTAACCATTTTGTTCGCTGCATTAAATCTGACAAACTTATTTTGTTCAGAAAAAAGTAAACATTCTAACTGTCATAGCTACGTTAGAGATTACAAAGTAAAACTTCCAAAACAAAAGGATCTTTAAAAATTAACTTCAAACCTTGTTTAGGTTAATATCAATAAATAATAATATATCCTTTATTTTATATAAGTTCTCTATAAAGTTGCAACATTAATTCAACCAATTTATGAGTTTTTAGTTTAGTTACCACCTGCCACACATGTCTGAGCTCAATTTACATCTGATCAACACTACTAATTGTTCTTTTCAGTCAGATAGCATCTAACTACTTCCAATGGTTTTCAATAAAGTTTATGTCTGTGGAGTGCACTGATTTAATTAAATTGATTTTATTATTGATTAAACCATGTTTTAATAAGTTTAAATGTACGTTTAAGGTCATTAACCTGCTAAAATTGCCATCTGAAAGACATATTTTTATCAGCAAAAGAAACCATTTGTTTTTCCAAAAAATCTTAATATATGGAGTGGGGATTGATTTTATATAATGGTCCCAAACCAAAAATTCTTTGGATTCAATTGCTTGCATTTTAGAAGTCAAGTTTTTTTTTTCTCAATAAAATGTGATTGTTCTGTCTAATTTTTATGAACACAAGCAAATCTTAATCTAGCTTTTCTATTTTTTTGTGAAGTAAACAGAATTTTTGCAGTACTATTTTCTAAAACTAATTCTTTAATTCTTTAATTCTCAAGCAGTAGCAAACAAATGTTTTTTTTCACAAATCTCACTAACTTACAATAAGTTAAGTTACTACTTACAATAAGTTAAGTTACTAACTTACCAATAAGTTAAGTTACTAACTTACCAATAAGTTACAATATGTTTTTAAATGTGATTTGCTTGTATTCCATACAAGGCCGGATTTGAGATTTATAGAGATAGAGAATAGAATCCAGAGAAAGTGTTGACTCGATAAAGAGAATTAACTTTAGCAGATGCTAATTTTGCAACAGATTTGATATAAGGTTTCCAAGAAAGATCAGAAGTAAGAGTTAATCCTAGAAGATGAAGGGTAGGAGACTCATCGAGTACATTACCGTTCATAAATATAGGAAGGTCTAAATTATTGCGATAACGATTGGCCGAAAAAAATTGAGTTTTATCTGAATTAAAGTTCACCAGCCACTGTGAGCCCCATGCTGTAGCAGAAGTGAGATCCTTTTCAAGCTCAGATGCCCCCCGCAAGCAATCAGAGGGAGTTGGCTTCTTATTGTGACAAGAATAAATGGTAGTATCATCAGCAAACAATGCCACCTTAGATGTGAGAATATCTGGAAGATCGTTAATGTAAATTAAAAAGAGTATAGGGCCAAGGATTAAACCTTGGGGAACCCCTGAGGTTACAGAATAAGATTAAGAGTGCTGTCCATCAAGGACAACTTTTATACTACGATTGTAAAGAAAGGATTCAATAATCTTAAAGATGTTTCCAGATACACCGTAAGAAGAAAGTTTATGGAGAAGAATAGCATGCCAAACTTTATCAAATGCTTTAGAAATGTCAAGACCAATGGCCTTAACCTCTCCACCTTTATCTAATGCGCGATAAAACCTATCGGTTATTACTGATAGCAAATCAGCCGTAAAACGAGAAGTTCCAAATCCATATTGATGATCAGAAAGTAGGTTCTGAGATTCGAGATGAGAGATTAAGTGTTTATTAATTAAAGATTCAAAAACCTTGCTTATGATAGGAAGAAGACTAATGGGACGGTAGTTAGACGAATTGGATCGCTCTCCAGAATTTTTAAAAATAGGGAAAAAAAA